TTTACTGGATGCAGGTGATGTTGAAACCTCCCAGCGATGAGCCACTACCTGGAACTTCTGATGAAACTAAGATAATGGACTTTACTGATGTTGATATACGTCTCCCATTGCTTGTTTATGTTTCTCGTGAGAAGCGTCCAGGCTATGATCACAACAAGAAGGCAGGGGCCATGAATGCACTTGTTCGAGCCTCAGCCATTATGTCTAATGGTCCTTTCATTCTTAATCTTGATTGTGATCACTATATTTACAATTCCCAGGCAATGAGGGAAGGGATGTGTTTCATGATGGATCGAGGAGGTGATCGCCTCTGTTATGTTCAGTTCCCTCAGAGGTTTGAGGGCATAGACCCTTCTGATCGATATGCTAATCACAACACTGTTTTTTTTGATGTGAACATGCGTGCCCTTGATGGTCTAATGGGTCCAGTCTATGTTGGAACTGGTTGCCTCTTTAGAAGGATTGCTCTTTATGGCTTTGACCCACCACGGGCAAAAGAAGATCACCCAGATTGCTGTAGCTGCTGCTTTGCCCGGCGCAAGAAACATTCCTCAGCTGCAAACACCCCAGAAGAGAACAGGGCTCTAAGAATGGGTGATTATGATGATGAAGAGATGAACCTCTCCCTGCTCCCTAAGAAGTTTGGCAACTCAACATTCCTCATTGACTCAATCCCAGTGACAGAGTTTCAAGGTCGTCCTCTTGCAGATCACCCAGCTGTTAAGAATGGACGCCCACCTGGTGCTCTCACTATTCCTCGTGAGCTTCTTGATGCATCAACTGTTGCGGAGGCAATCAGTGTCATATCTTGCTGGTATGAAGACAAGACTGAGTGGGGAAATCGAGTTGGGTGGATTTATGGATCTGTTACTGAAGATGTTGTCACTGGGTATAGGATGCACAACAGGGGATGGAAATCAGTTTATTGTGTTACCAAGCGTGATGCCTTCCGTGGCACTGCTCCAATTAACCTCACAGATAGGCTTCATCAAGTTCTCAGGTGGGCTACTGGTTCTGTTGAAATTTTCTTTTCCCGCAACAATGCCCTCTTAGCCAGCCGTAGAATGAAATTTCTTCAGAGGATAGCATATCTGAATGTTGGCATCTATCCCTTCACTTCGATCTTCCTGATTGTGTACTGCTTCCTCCCTGCACTTTCCCTATTCTCTGGCCAGTTCATTGTTCAGACCCTTAATGTCACTTTTCTTGCTTATCTCCTAGTCATCACATTGACTCTATGTTTACTTGCTGTGCTTGAAATCAAATGGTCTGGCATCGACCTAGAGGAGTGGTGGAGGAATGAGCAGTTTTGGTTGATTGGAGGAACCAGTGCCCACCTTGCTGCTGTGCTTCAGGGATTGTTGAAAGTCATTGCAGGGATTGAAATTTCTTTCACCTTGACTTCAAAATCAGGTGGTGATGATGTTGATGATGAGTTTGCTGATCTCTATGTTGTCAAATGGACATCGCTGATGATACCTCCTATTACAATCATGATGGTCAACTTAATTGCAATAGCAGTTGGATTTAGCCGAACAATTTACAGTGTTATACCTCAGTGGAGTAGATTACTGGGTGGGGTTTTCTTCAGTTTCTGGGTCCTGGCTCATCTCTACCCTTTTGCTAAAGGTCTTATGGGAAGAAGAGGAAGGACACCGACCATTGTTTTTGTGTGGTCAGGACTTATTGCAATCACCATCTCTCTCCTCTGGGTGGCAATCAATCCCCCGTCTGGCACCACTCAAATTGGTGGCTCATTCCAGTTTCCCTGATAGGTCTTTTTCTGTCTTTTTTGTTTAATTTATTCAATTGCGTTCCTTTACTAAATTCTTTTTTTCAAAACATCTTTCTGCTGGAGTACAGGCTAGATATTTTCTTAAACACATTTTGTGTAGTGGCTGTTTACTTTCACAAAAGTTCTAGTGAAAATGGAGACAAGGACTGAGAAGATGGGTAACGGGTTTTCTTGGCATTGTTGTTGACAATGCATTACATGAAATACTAAAACCAGAGACCCATCTTTACGTAGATGATTAGGATTGTGATCGTCTTCTTTTGTTACTTGGAAAAGCGTATCAATTTCAAGGGAAATTGCCCTGTATATTCCAGCGCTTCATGGCTATGGCGGGGCCCTGTGCTGATGCTGTTATATCGCACGCTATCGGACTGCTTGACCTTATCGAACTGCGTATATTTGAAATTGATTCTCCTTTTAATTACAAGTTAAACAATATCCGCAAGTGATTTTCATCTTACATGGTCAACTATATAACAAGCTGATGACATAACAAGGAAGATGCATCGTTATGAAGCCATTTGTTGACATAATTGATAAAACTCCCTTTATTCTTACAAGACACAACACAAATTCCTAGTGAAAATAGATTGGGATTGCTTCACTAATTCTTATAAACTATAAGAAAAGCCAATCTGTTAAGAGTTGTTAGCTAAGGCGGTGGGGCATGGGCAGAGAAGCTTTAGGCGTATCGATGATAGATAGGCTACGTCGGTACTACACAATGAAGCTTGTGAGAGCGGGGCAGTGGCAGTGGTTCCCTAATCTCTTAATGAAATGTTAGTGACATTATTGCCGAAGTTATTTTTAGAAGAGTGGAGATATTATAGGTTAAGGGAGGCAGAAGATCAAGGATATTGGGAGAGATGTCACGGGAATGGAAGGTTATGAAAGTTTGATAGTGATGGAGTGATCATCCATCACAATTATTGTTAATGATGGATATGTTGAGTTCTTGGATATCATATACACATCAGAAATAATAAATAGAATAATTATTTAAAAGTTTTTAAAATCTGGTTGGATAGATCTAGATTTATTTAGAGATTTATTATCTGAAGATTCTCCAGTTTTGAATAATACTTTAATGTTTGAGTTGTCGTAAACCATAAGTCATTCAATTATCTGGCATACAATGGTAATCCACACGAGTTACTAGTGAGAAATCTCCTAAATTTTTATTTAGTAGAAAGGGATTGCTATGCCTAAATGTTAGATTAATATGCCTTGTAGCCAATCGGTTGGTTGTATGTAACATTATTATATTCCTGTAAATACATATTTATTATTAATAAAGGCTTAAATTATCTTTATTATTCATATAATATTAGATTAATGACTCTGATATTTGATTTATGAATTTAAAGTAAAGATAAAGTCCATGAGACAAAAATATTATACAAATAAAATTATAAAGTTGTTATAATTATGAGATTTCTATTGTATCAAAGCATTGTTCCTAAAATATTCATAGTTGATGCTTTATTAAATACTAAATATTATTAGAGTCGTAGAGTTTGGTACATATCATGTTATTTATTTTATAAAAGGATGCAACTGTTCTTATAAGCAGAGTTATAAGAAATACCTAAAACTAATATATAGATGCTTGTCATAAGATATATACACTAAACTAACCCGCATGAAAATTTCATAAGGAGAGTTCACCAATGTCTATAAAAAGATTCACATCACGATTGTGTAAGTGATCCTTAGACTTGATCCTTAGACTTGAAATCACTAAGTGATCTTATACAGAGAATGTTATATTTTGATTTTGTTACATGTTATCTTAATAGAGACAATGAAATGACAAATCTTTGGTATGTCATGAATTATATGAAGATACTTAAGTGAGGATTCATCACCTTAGGTAAATTAAAAAAAATATTTTTATTTATTCTCAAATAATATTAACTGAGAAATCCTTGACTAAGGTGGAAAGAAATTTGAAGAGGATTTCAAATATTATTCAAAGAATCAATAACTATTATATAAAGAGCAAACATGATTTAACATGGCCGACATAATCCATGCTTCAATATTAAATCAAAATATTATTAATAAAAATATATTAATTACACTGAAAAACTAGTCACTGAAAGATTAAGTCAAACTACTAATGATATTTTTAATATTTGAAGGATCATGACATGTTGCTAGGTGATGCATCTCATCTTCAATTATAAATTAATTAATTTTTGAATTGATAATAAATTAAATTGTTTAATTTATTTAATTTTATTTAATTAAAATTATAATTTGTATTTGGACCAATATATTAGAAACCTAATGGGTTACACACATTAAGAACAATTAGTTAAAAATTAAACTAGGATAATTTAATTAAGTATAACTTGATTAAAATATATTTAGAAATTAACGACTAGAATATATTTAGTATGTGGATTATATTTCTAGACCTAAAAAAATTATGTGAGGACTTCATTGAGTTAATTTCTAAAATTATCTAAAATTAATATATGAATATTATTCAGGGGGAAATTGATATTTTGCTAATTGATATTGTTTTTTAGATTTTTTTTTATAAATAGTCAGCTATGCCTCTTATTTTAAAAAAACTATTGTCTGTTAGACAATAATTTCTCTCTTCTAAAAAGAGATTTAAGAGATTTTAGATTCTGTTAGAGCTAGATAGTCGAATGATTTGTGGTTTGCCATAACCTAACTTTTAAGAAATAATTCAAAGTTGAAAAAAATTGAATCTTCATATAATAAATTTCTAAATAACTCTAAATTTATCTAATAAAATCTCAGAGACTCTCAAATAATTTTGTTTTATTATTTATAGTGTATAATACTATTGAAAAACTCAACATCAACTTCACTATCACCATAAAATTTAAACATTTCAATATCCCATGTTATTCTAATCATATTAGAGAGTATTTTTTAACGAAGTTTTAACAAATAACTGGTTCTCAACTGTATCCGCTAATTATATATAAAAACCAATTTTCCAATACTATTTACCAGTGAGCACTCGCTGACCTTTATTTATTTATTTTATGCCCACACTCTCTCTTTTGTAATGTCAAAGCACTATGTTTTTTCTTGGGCTAAATATGCTGACTTTCTTTCTTTTTCCTTTTTAATTTTTAATGAGTGATGAGTTGCTTTGCTCTTCCTATATATAACGAAATCTACGAGCAAATTAAAAATAAATGTAATTAACCTTACTGCAACACGTAAATCTTCCTTCAAAAAGAATTGCTGAAGCTGAACATGCAGGCAACGTGAAGTGATGAGTTGTTGAAACAGCACATATGCATGTTCAAACCTAACATCACCATGTTTAATTACATCTCTAAACATCATTAATTACATAATTTCTTCATTGAACAGACCCAAAGACAGATCTCTCTTCACCTTCTTTCACCCAAAAGCAACTGCCATGGAAGCTTTCACGACCTTGTTAGTGCTTCTCACGAAAGTACTCGTCTGTGCAACTAACCCGACGGACATTCCTTCAAGAAGCCAAGACCTTGTCGTTGCCACTGACGAGATGGCAAGAGCCAACTACTTCAGTTTCGTCATGCTCATTAACATGTCCCCACTTGATCAGAAATTTCAGGGGAATGTCACTTTCTTGATGCCCAAGGATCGTATATTGTCTAAAATCAGGATGCATCAACATGCTGTTTCTGATTTTTTGCTTCGCCATTCAATCCCATCACCCTTGCTCTTTGATCACCTGCGACATATTCCACCAGGCTCGCTGATTCCCAGTTCCGATCCGGATTATATGCTTAACATTGACAACCAGGGAAGGAAGAGTTTCTTTCTCAACAATGTCAAGATCTCCAGCCCAGATCTATGCACTGCAGGATCTTCAATTAGATGCCATGGCATCGATGGTGTGCTAGTAGCTACGGAAAGGCATCCTTTACCTGCTTGTTCCAACAGCACAAGTCCTGCTGTTGTGGCCACACCACCAAGCCCATCACTCCCATTACCAGATATTCCATCATTTCCATCATCAGCGCCTCCTCCTGGTGCTGCTGCGCCGACAGACCAAGAGCACAACCCAAAACATTCAGGCTCATCCCAACTAGAAAGTCTCTCTCTTGGAGGTTTATTAAAATTCTTGGCGACTTCTATTTTGGTGTTAAATGCTCGGGTTCTCTATGCAGTGAGACTGAATTAAAGGATTTGGAGAAGCGTACACAACGGGGCACATGCAGAACATTTTTTTAATGAATTATTCTATAAAAATAGTCAATCTATTTTTCTCCTGTCAGTACAATAAAGTAAGCCTGGGAAGAAAATTCCAAGTGCAATGTTTCTTCTTTTTATTGGGTGAACATTATCTTTGTTCTTCTATTGGCCAATTGACTACACTCTAGAATTTTCCTTGGACAAATAATACTGGTTACTCCATACCGTTTAGGACCCAACAACTAATATGTGCGCCATTGTACACCAAGTTTATTTCATTTTAATTAGGTGAAAATAAAACAACTATACTGAACAATCATTTTTATTTTAAATCATGATAACTTCAAAAAATAACCTAAAAAATTATATAATTAAATAAAAAAATAATATTAAAATTAGAATCAAACTAATCCAATATCACATGATAGATATATAAACTGGGTAATAAAGAACAGATCAATTCATGTTAACTTGTAATAGAAAATAAATTTAAGAAAATCATAATTTTTTTTGTATTTTTAAAAAATAATGTTTAATATGAATTCAAGCAATAAAACAAAAAATAAAAATAAAAATAAAAATATCAAACTACATCAATTTTTCAAACTTGTAACTCTAATCATTAAACCAGAAGAACTATATATGAAAAAAATGAGAAAAATTAATTCATAATAAATCTAGCATTGAATGATGAAATATTACTATTATTATTACTATCATTATCATCATAATTTATTGTTATTGTTGATGTTGTTGTTGTTGTTATTATTATTATTATTGATACGAACCTTAGCACAATTTAGTTGAATTCACAAACTCAAGATCTTTCTAATTCTAGTTTAAGATTGAGAATTGAGCTTAACACAATAAATAACTTGCCCCAAGGCATAAAGACTATAATAACTACCTTCACACAATGTCCTCACCTAGAGATGAGTATAAAAACTATAAAATCATAACAAAAATTGGTTAATTTTTTGAAGAGTATAGTTCAATCAAGAACCAAGCAAGAAAACTCCTTATTCTCTATGCTTCAATATGCAGAAATTAATGTGAATTAAATCTGAAAAATAACTCTTATAAAAGATTATTTATACTTTTAAAAATAAACCCTCAAGACAACTTAATAAGCTTAGTTGACCCAATTTGAAACTAGGCCTAAAATAACACAAAAAACTAAGTAATTTACTTGAAATAATAAAAATAAATATTATGAAATTTTTATCCTATAGTGCTGTTGATTAATACTTAAAAGTGCATTTTTATCAAGGTTTTATATCATCATTTTACACTTAAAGTATCAATTACTCCTTAACTAAAACATGTTTTATACTAATATATCTAATAATATAAGATACCTTTAATTTATGGTAAAAGTTTATTTTAAATGCAGGCCTATCACATAAAT